CCCCAAAACCCCAAAACCCCAAAACCCCAAAACCCCAAAACCCCATAATTATCTATGTTAATAGAAAATTTGTATTATTTGGTTTAAATTTAAAGGATCTTGTCTTCTCTGATTACTCAACAAGTAAGTCAGAAGGAAGGTCAAAAGAAAGCAGATGTTGCGCCGATATCTATCCAGGCACCCAAACTATTACAGCCTATATTCTAAAAAATTGAGGATTCAAGTACTCTAATAAAAGTTTGTATTCAAAAATATTCTTAGTCAAGATCCCAGTAGGATGAATTTGATTTATTTACGCTAATCTTCCGATTCAGAGCCATCTTCTGGGATATTAAAATTATACTTTTTAAGATGGTCTTCCTCCTTTCGGCTTTCATCGCCTGTGAGGTTCTGATTTTGGTCCTGACGTATTTCTTGAGCTGCTCCAAAGTCTTGATGTCACTTGCATATCCATTGTACTCTAAAGTAATCTTGCATGAGACTGAGGAAAGGAAGGTTAAAGCTTACCTAGCTTATCCACATGCTTCTTCATTTCTATTAATTTTTCCAATATCTTATTGGCGGGTTTATTTCAGGAAGAACACAGTTAGTTCCTTGATTTCTTTGTGAGATAGCAAATTCTGGTTCTTAACTTTCCTATAGCTCTCATCATTCATGGTCCGGTTCTCATAGCCAAGGATGCACTCTGTATCAACAGAGGTGTCATCTGGCTCTAGGTTGAGAATGTCCTCCTTGAGTAAGGAATGTGCTATGGGTTATGAACAAAATTACTTGTCTCTCCCTTTAATTCTTCATTAATATTTTCATTAACTGAAGTGACATTGTGTATCTCAGAAACATCCTTGTTCATATTCAGATCTGAAGTGCTTTTCTCAATGTGATTGAATATGGTTGAACTCCTATACATTTAGAATTTGGCATACCTCCCCATTGGCACTTTAGGGATCTTCTTGCTACTCACATGCTCTTCAAATTTGAACTTTGAGTTGACAAAGTTGGAGGGTTTCATAGGTTCAACAGACTCAGCAGATTCCCTTCTCTTAACTTTATTTCATCGTAATATTCATAGTATCGTTAAACTCCTGGCCAGGAGTATTTGACTGGAGACTATTAGGAGTGAATCAGCTCTGAGAGTCAATCTCTTTGCTCAGCATAGAATTATGAACCTGAAGCTGAGTATTCTTTGATTTTACTTGCTTCTCATTCAAACTGGGCATCCTGATCGACAAGCTATCTGTCTCTATAATCTCTCTTCTTGTCTCATTCTTCTAAAAATTTCTTCTCAGGCTTACATTCTTGGGTACATCTTTGATCAATCTCCTATCAAGGTTAACTTTCTGTACATCTGCATATTCCTGAAAACTATTCTTGCCTAGTACTAGTCTCTTCTTCGGCTTCTTTCTCAGGTTAGCATCTCTTGTACCTATATAGTGTCAAGGTCTAGACCCAACCTAAAAGTCTTACTCTTGTTAACACTGATCCTTGTGGCCATATTCAGGTGTTTAGCCTTAGCCTTCACGACTGGTTTTACAGTGCCTATGGCTTTGGAGCAACTGTCACTGTTTAGTAACTTTCTATGGGACTTTTAGTGGGAATTTAGGGATTTAAGAAGAAAGTAGGATTTGAGAGGAGGGAGAAATTTGGGTGTAAGGAAGTTACATTTTGACTTGGCCTTGCTCTAGGCTTGGGGAGTAGAGGTTTTGGTGCTCGTTCTTGAAGGAGACTACTCCTTCTTTGGAATTTTCAGATTTGAGGTTGATTGGGTTGAGCGAGCCACTGTCGTCATTCATGATGCCGGTGTATATCCTGTTGTTGACGTGAGTGTCAAATCTTTTGAATGGTTTTGTGTCTCTTCTTTTAGATAAGGAGCCTATAAATAATAGAGATGCACTTACTTAGGTCATTATGATCGATCAAAGTCGCCTTGGAGTACCTTTTGTACTGGCTAAAATCATTTATTTTGCCATCTGTTCTTCTAGTATTTCGAGCCTTTTTACTGTTATTTTTATATCTTTTCTGGATACTTGGTCTTTGCCTGCTATTTAAAGTGGAATCAGCAGTCCTATTTACAAATGGGTTCATGTTGAAGAGAGAATCCTTTTGCCTACTATGGTCCTTGCTCGCAAAGTAGGTTAGCTTAGTTCCATATTGATTGAATTGCTGAACCCTATCCTTCAGTCCTTTCTTTGCCTTAGATGAGATGATCAACTATAATAGATCAAGGATAAGTCTGGGTTAATAAATGTTTAGATCTAGAATTATTCCAAAACAAAGTCAGAACATAATTTTCTCTAGAAATGAACTTTCCATTTTTCACCAACAAAGTCAAGAGGAAATAGAATGACTTGATTCCTTTTGAAAAGTGATATTTTATAAGAATAATTTAAAATCTTGCTGCCCTATTCTTCTTATTTCCTTATATTGAGAGAAGGGAGAGATAAATCTCTGAAATTTGTTAACAGGAACCTTAAAGGAACCATACGAGACACAGCAGCCTCTTTTTACTATTTTCCTACCTGGTCAGTTTTAGAATCCCTTTTCTGGTTGCGATTGAGAGTGTCCATGATCAAGTCTGAAATTTCATGTACGTTCCTATTTTGGTATCTAAAGGAGCTCAATTACTATTCACATTGCTACTAGCTTACATTTGTCGGGAGGAAATGTCCTTGCTGGAACTGTTCGAGCTATGAAAAATTAGCCTCAATTGGTATATTTTAAGCAGCGATGGTTTACATACAAGAGGAGTAAGGATTGACTTACTTACCCATACTTGCCATGGTAGACATTCCCATTTCCAATAGTAGGAAAATCAATCAGGCTATTCTTAACATTTTGAGATATAGTCACATTATATCTAGACATTGGAAGACTTCCCTTCTTATTGACAGGATTGTAGCAGTCATAGATGCTTTTAAAGTTTTTCCTCCCTGGTTCGTATTTGTAGGGAACCCCAGAGGATAAAATTGGAGGCTGCTTGTCTCCTCTTCGGGATTGCTCACCAGCCAGTCTCTTTGAAGAGCGATTTCCTTTAGCCATCACAGTTAAAATATATAATTATCAACTCACTAATTAAAAATAGGGGTTTTGGGGTTTTGGGGTTTTGGGGTTTTGGGGTTTTGGGG